GGGCCACTTGTAAACGAACAGCAGACCAAGTGATTGCTACAGGAGGAGATATAACTAACCTGAATGAGTTCGCTACTGTCATTCGTGAAAGATGCCCAGGTATAAAAATTGATGTGATCGAAGAGTGTCAAATTGAGAAGATGAACACCATCATTAATGATAAGTCGTCCGAAATGGTCGCTTTTAAGGGAACACTATTGGTGCATCAGGTGACTGGCACAGCTTATATTCCCAACAATCTTACAATGAAGTCACTAAGTTGTTTTTGTCATACCGATGGATGTAATCATTACAAGTTAGGATCTATTAGTTATCAGACAGAAATAAGTGCTATAAATAGTACACGTATAAATACTTCTACCGTATTCTCAGACTCTGAAGATGATGTACCACTATCTACATATGTTAAAGACAATGATGATCGCTCTAAATTGGATAGAGATCTATCGGCACCAGGAACTAGCGGTTATTCGCACCATCAAAGTCGTTATAGTAGTGGTGATTATGTTTTGGTCAAATATATCACAAAGAAAACAGAATATCATTATGCAGCGGTCTGCTCTTCGGTTGATGATGAAGACGGTGAAGTAAGAGTAACTTTTCTTAAAATTTGTGACCAGAATGGCACTCTGTTTAAATTGGATGAAAGAGATGTGTCAGATGTTCCCATGGATCAAGTAATAAAAAAACTACCCGTACCAAACCTCATTACTAAAGGGAAGAGAGTTTATTACCAATTTCAGGAAAAAATTGATGTTTTCGAAAAATAATTTCTTATTTTTGCACTATTTTGATCCTTTATTTTTCTTTTTTTTTTTGTGGAGAAAAAGATCTCATATTATTTTAATTATTACTAACTTTTTTGATGCTTTTAAGGCATAGCCTATTATATTTACTTGATTTATTAGAAAATACGTACTTTTAAGTAAAATTACCTCAAAATAATATTAAAGTTAAGTAATATAACATTATAAAAATCTCAAAAGGCTGTTATGAAGACTGGTATAGTTGACTTTCATAGTATTATATTGTTATTGTTCTTAATTTCATGATAATAGTACTTTTAAGATAAATATTGTTAGATTTTTGTTTCTATTGATTGTTGATTACTTAGAAATGTTAAGTAAAACTAAGTCAAAGTAGTAAAAGTTAAGTGAATAACGTTATGTTAAATGTCAAAAGGCTGTTTTGAAAACTAAGATAGTATTTTCTCTCAGTATTGCATATTAATAATTATTTTTAATTGTTACTAAGTGATTTTAATACTTAAAAGACATGTGCCATTATTAAATCTTAAGAGATTTGTACCAATTTTTATTAAATTTGATTATAATTCTTACAAAATGGTGTATTTTGTCAGTACTATGTTACCCTCGTCAGTCCCCTGGCAGTCAAATTCTGAAAATTTGAAATATCTCACAATCTACTTAAAAAAGTGACTGGCCCGATGTGGAACAATATATTCATTAGATTAGCCATCTTATACACCCGAATTTGTAGAAATTTGATTTAATAACTATAGTAAACAAAATATCCTCAAGAGTTACCCAACTTTTGTATAATCACCCATATCTATGAATAAGTTGTAAACACACCTACAATCATGGAGAACACTTTAGTGGGGCGATGTTTAAAAAATCCTATAGACTACTTAAATGGGCACATTTTCAAATTACATCCAGTAATTCCAGAGATTAACTTGATCAAACAAACAAACAAACTCTTCAATTTTATAATATTAACATTGGTATTATATTAGCTATTATATTAGATTCCAGAAGGCATTTGTGAATAGGTTACTTAAAGGTATTCATATTTAATCATTTGTAACATAATCCCTTGTCGCCAGGCCACCCAGAAGGTAGTGGGCAAATACTAACCTATTCAATGTATATTGAAATAAATTAACTAATGTACAGTACGGCCGACGTATCTTGGCGAGTCTGAAGTTAGCCATTTGTCTGCGCAATGGATCTTTTAGGAACAAAATTGTGTACTGCGCAGCTAATCGTCTAACTTCAGACTCGCCAAGATACGTTGGCGGTATTGTAACATAACTGGTCCTAAACTCCACAACACACTTCTGCGTAACCCTTCCAGTATTAAGCATGATGATCACATCACACATTATCAATCATCAACATCACCATCATCATCGTTATCAATGATCTTTGCAATCCTTTCGGATGCTTCCTTCATCAATTGCTCACTTAAACGCGGAAACTTGGTTTCGAAATCAGACTTCAGTTTTTCAAGATCAAATCTGTCTTTTTCCAACTCTTCTATTGTGGCTTGAGATTTTTCGTATTCTTTAAATTTGTCTAGGTCCAGATTTGAATCTTTTTTTATCTGTTCTAGGCCATGGATGGCATCGTTAACTGCATCCAATAATTGCTTGTGTCCAGAAACTTGATTGTATCCAAAATCAACATTTTTGAGTTCAATTTTGTCTAAAAATCTTTGTTCCGTTGTGTGTAGATCTTCGAGTAGTTTCTCTGCGTTTGATTTCTCTGTTGCTTCAAAGATTTGTGTGTTGACTTGACTTTTTAGGTCGAGTAGTCTGAAAATATAGTTTTAAACATTAAAATGTTACATATCTATCGATTGGTTATGAATAAATACAAGGATCATTATTGATTTTAATAAAAAAGCACATCTGCATGATACCATATGTATTCTTTAGACCATCCTAGTCAGTTATGGCTGCAATTAGGTAGTTTTAATATCACACTGCAACATCGTTTGGTCCTTATTTCTTGATTTAACAAAAGCAATACAAATATTGTAAAAGTTTTGAATGAACATGTAATTTTTTTGAAGTACTTTGTTGAATAAATTTCTTTTTAAGTGAGGAAACTACCCATTTATTGTGAAGGTAGGTATTAAAATAAAGATTTGACTCAGCATGAAGACAGTAGCCAATGTTACACTATAGTTTTTGGTTTTATTGGTGCCATGTTTTGTAATTTGCTCATTGGGCAAGCAATGGTTACAGTATACAAAATAAACACATGCAGACTGTACTATGGTCTAAAGGTTAAGCTAATTAACTAAATGTAAACGCAATCTTGACACATCTGTTAATCTAAAAATTGTATAAATTTTTTTTATAATCATTAAATATTTACCTTAGTCAATGTTAGCTAATAAACTATATTTCAATAACCTTTGTATCTTTTTTTCATTTTATCCAACCTCTTTCATAAAAAAACATACCAAAACTACCTTAAGTTAACCAACTACACTCATAGACAATAGCTCTCTTCCTGTAGTTCCACAAAGGAAGTAGCCTGTATAACTCGTTAAGGATAAACATTACTTTATGGACCGTCGAGTTGAGTGTTAATTTTTTTTTGTAGATAGTACACATTAACAGAATGCTTTTTACATTTTTTTATATATTTCCATAACCATAGGGCTCCGCGGGGTGGGGATGGGCCTGGGGGGTAGTCCTCTCCCTCCCCCTCCCCCCTCCCCCCATTTCGACCCCAAAATCGACGGTTCATAAAGTTTAACCCTCGTTATCTTCCTAACTACAAAAAAACAAATTTTTGCATGTATATTATTCTAATGTCTATTAATCGTAAGGATTGGAATAACTAACCTCTTTTGTTCAGCCACAAACGATATATTTTTCAGTCTCCTGCTAGTTTTATCCAACTGATCCATTGTTTTCTGAAATCTATCAGCTAGTTGGGACATTTGCAAGTCGATTACAGTCTCTTCTCGTTCAATTTTTTCATCGACCAAACATTCCTCCAGCATCGCCCTTAAAAATTTCCCGTAAGCGATTTGGCGGTGTTCCGCGTCGAAATCCGGTAAACCTTGTTGTTCCATTTTCAAAATCGTCGCATCAGCATCGACAGTAGTCATGTTCGCATTATTTTTCTTCGTTCGAGGTACATTTTTGGTGTCTTTTGTAACGATTTTTGTACGCGATGAAGTCGGCACACTCACAGATGTCGGACGTTTAATTTTATTCGTGGTTTTCGATGTCACAGCCGATATCTTCGTTTTATCGGCCATTTTTCAATAATTTAATATTGTTTTGTTACAATTTATTTACGAATAGCGTTCAACAGTTGAAATTGAATAAATTGACGTTTGTTTTAAATGGCTGTCATTGTCATGGCAACGGTAATTGCGGGATTCGTTCGGAAATAATTCAAGAAAACTTTATTTTTTTCATCGGCATATAATAATATTATAGTTATACTTGAGAGCATAAATATCTTTCATTTTATCATTTGCGTACTTCATATCTATTTATAGATACATACATAAAGGTAGGTACAATGAATCGCGACTTGAGTGTTCTACAGACAAAGACTCAGTGACACTTAAGTGCACACAAAAACCTTTAACAGTAAGATAAGCAAAACTTTATGGTTAATTTATAACATTTATCACAATACTAGTAAAATTAACTAGGAATAATTGAGAAAGAAAACGTTGCCTGTTAAAACTAATCTCAACAGGTTAAAAATCCGTTTCAGAACGGAAACCACAACACTGTCAAAAAGAAAATCAATGGAGTTTTTTATTTTTAGACCTAGGTCAACAAGTCAAAATTATTTATTCAAATAAAATCAATACAATTCAGATTATAGGGCGGGAAATATTAGCGATTTGAATTATTAATTTATTGTTGGAAAAAAGAATACTTTCCCACGGTCTTTGTTTTGCATAAAGGTTATAAACGAATACTTATTTTCTCATAACATCTTCATTGTTCTGAGAAAGCATTTATACAGCCTTTAAAAACCTTTTTTTCATTTCACTTCGCGGATTCTAACACAAAGAATTTAAAAATAGGATTCAAAAACAAAAGGTCACTGACCTTTTGACTTCTAAAATATTCATGCACTTTTCTTTCCAATAAAAAGCTAACTGAACCTTACAGACACAACAAAAACTTTAACACTTTTTTTCTTAGAAAATCTCATAATCATTCTGAGATTACACTTAAATATTTATGAAAACTTTGTGTTAAAACGTACCATTCTCCGTATACCAGCTACCAGCGTGCGAAGCGTTGCGACAGGACATCTTCGTGTTAATCTGAACAATCAGATTTAATAATTATTAAAATATTAATAAATAATTAAATGATAACTTTCACAATCACAAAAATAATACTTTGACGTTGATGTAAATACACCACAGACAATCTTGCCCTCCGTTTTTTTTTATTAGACGTAGCGTTTACGAAGTGATTGTTAGTGTAAATATTTCATAGTTTACGGTATTATTTTGTTCATATTGTTCTTTTGTTGTCATAGCCCCATAGCCCATTTCTAATTTAATAAATAATCGAAAATTACAACTTACGTGGTGTTGCTTTAAAGTTGATACACTTGATGCAGCTAATATAATTAATACTAACAATTTAAACATTTTGCTGTATTTTTGAAAGAAAAACAGAATAAATATATTTGTATTTCCAAAAATAAAAAAAATTACAGTTTTCTTACATATAGTTACTGTATAAATCAAGATTTTATTAAAACTAGATTTAATCGTGGCAAAGTCGATGAAAGCAAAACGTATTTTTTTACAACACTGATTGAACGAATGATAATTATGATAAGAGACCGATTTTCTTAATCATTCGCCATTCGACCACTTGTCAATGTTGTCAATAGTGCGGCGAGTGAGTGTGCGGAAAATTTGTGATTAAATTCTTATTTTAATTAAACAAGTAACTTATTGCATTTATTTTAAAACATTCGAGGTTATTTGTAAGGATTTAATCATTCCTATATAGGTGTCAGTCAACAAAATGCTACAATCTATTTGTAAGTATTGAGTACGAAATAAGAATTTCCATTACCTATTTATTTTCTTTAAAATTAATTGCAAACTGCGATTCACGTCCTCAATTATGTTGGTTATATTTATCGTTCCGTTGTTTGTAATAACAGTTGTGTCAATAAATATTGGTTATAGTCCGATAAGCATCTACAATGCTGACCTAAAAATAATATTATGTGTTATGTAAAAAAATTGTAATAATAATTTTATTGCATTCAGTGGAAAGTTTTCAGTGTACAATTTTGTAAATTTATATGTATTGTATTTGTATATATAATATTTTATTGTATTGAAACATCAAATTAATTTATTTTTGACCTAGGAAACAACCCAATTCCCTATAGGGATATAGGTATAGGTATTATATATATCAAACCTATTTTTACTATAAAACTATTTTATGGAGTGGCTGAGGGGATAACTGCAGTGTTATAATATCCTCAAAGGAAACAATTCCTTGTTGCCACGGGTCTGGGCCTGATTATTGTGTAAATGTGAAAATGATATATAACTTGGGTATGAGATCTTACATCTACATATAAAACCTCTTTATTCAATAAAAATTGTATCTTATATGGCACCTCAATTGATAAAATACTCAACACATTCACACAACGAAATACAATGCAGGTATTGTTTCACATCGGTTTTCTCTGAGGCCTTAATAGGCCAGTTATAAGTTCTTACTATTCTATTATGTACATACTAGCTACTCTCGCACTGTTTCACCCGCTGCTCGGCTCCATTTAATTGTAGCGTGATGTTTTATAACCTATAGCACTCAGGAACATTGTAGCTATCTATAAGTGAAAGAATTTTGGCAATCCGACCCAGACCTGGTTTTTTCAACAAAAATTTGTGGACCACACAGATTATAATCTGTGCCTATATATAAAAATTAATTGCAAAATGTGTTGGTAAGCGCATAACTCAATAACAGCTTTACCAATTTTTCTAATTATTGTTTTGTTGTGTTTGTTTATGTCAGAATAAGATTTGTTATAAAAAAAGATTTTGAAAAGTAGAGGTGAGAGTTGGATAGTTAGGGACTCATTCATTGTTAGCGAGATTGTTGAAGACCCGTGTGAAGCAGGGACGAGCCTGTACTTGAACTTAATAGTTGTCAGTGATAGAAAGCTCTAATATATACAATTCTCGTGTCACAGTTTTCGATGCCATACTCCTCCGAAACGGCTTGACCGATTTTCGGTATCTATGAGAATCGGCCAACATGTACATATTTTTCATCCCCCTAAATGTCAGGGGTAGTCCATCTCCAAAACTTTTATTTTTTTATTTTTTAGACAAAATGTTTTTCTATTTTTTTTTATAATACAACATACAAAAATACATACAATCCTCAATTTTCACCATTCTACGATCACACCCTTATTTTTAATAGCCAAAAATAAAAAATTGTTTCTCCATTGTTACAGGTCGAAATGTCTTTTCTCGGGTGTCGAGGACGATGTCGTATGCCACTCGTACCAGTCAGGAAGAGGTCGTTAAACCGAAAACAGCTATAGTCATGTTGAATATGGGCGGTCCTACCAATATAGACCAGGTAAGAGCGAATACCTACTGTACAATTGCGTAGTTTCCTAGGTCAAAAATAAATCAATTCGACGTTTCAATACAATATGAAGTCGGTTAAAAATATTTAAAAATAACTATACTTTTATTCATCGATCGATTGATACACTAAGTTTTAGATTTTTTTTAGCTAATTATTAAGAAATAAGTAAGCTATTTGACGCAAAAATGCTATGACGTCATAACTCACTTTTTCATACAAATTTCATAGAAAAGTATCGTTTTTGACGTTTGGATAAAAGTATTGAATTTGACTAGTTGGTTTGGAAACTATCGTATTAAAAAAGCATCACCCCACACTAGGATTTTCTCGTGTGCCGTGGGTGCGTTTACAAACGTACAATTTCACATACACATCACACCTAGACCCGGAACAACAATTTGTGGATCACACAAAGTTCCGCGCGGTAAACGAACCCGCAACACGGCGTGCGGCAGCCAGTTGCCCAGCCACCGCGCCAACCGTGCAGTTCACTATTGTCATTAATACTCACTAGCTACTCTCACGCAGTTTCACCCGCTACTCAGCTCCTACAAAACATAGCGTGATGTTTTATAGCCTACTAGCTTTTGGCCGCGACTCCGTTCCCGTGGAATAGTGACTTCCTGCAGATTTTTGGCATAAAAACTATCCTATGTCCTTTCTCGAGTTCTAAACTATGTCTGTACCAAATTTCACAGAAATCGGTTCAGTAGTTTAAGCGGGAAGAAAAGACAGACAAACAGAGTTACTTTCGCATTTATAATATTCCTATCTGACTAGGCACTCTTTGAAGAAACACCGAAACAAACTCAGAGGTCCGTCTCTTTTCAAGTCCAGACAATGTTAAAAGTAATATAATGTGTGAGAACCATGCAAGTTCATTCCGTAGTGGTCTTTTGAGGAAAGAACCACACCAGTTTAAGTGGACCCGTTCTAAAGAAAGGCACGCGAGTGTCAGTTTACAACCAGAAAATTGAAGTGTTCCCACACTTCAACTTTCTGTTCCATGAGCCCTGCTTCGGCAGGAATGGGTCGGCTCGACCGGAGTGATACCACGGCCGCACAGAAAACTGACGTGAAACAACCACAGCGTTATGTTTCGCAGTGTGAGTGAGGTTACCGGAGGCCCAATCCTTCCCCGCCCGCAATCCCTCCTCAATCCTTAAATCTCCAAATCCTTAATCCCTAAAAGGTCGGCAACGCACTCGTAACTCGTCCGTTGCGGATGTCTATGGGCGGCGTTGGTTGCTTACCATCAGGTAATCCGTCTGCTCGCTTGCCGACCTAACACATAAAAAAAACGTAAAGGCTTTACTAGTAGTAGATATAAAAACACCATATTTTCTAGAATATTTAAAACGTATCAGTAAACTTGAAAGAAGTAAAAAACAGATAGTTGTTAATAAATTTATAAAAAAATCAAAAAGTTGATAACCTATTTTTCGATAGAGGTTATCTTTTTCTAACAAATAATCTTGTGTTTAAAATGTAACTTTACTCAAATTTAAATACCTTTGTCATGTATTTTTCTTTTACAAGTTTAAAAAAAAGAGTAACCATGGAGTTTCTTGCTCGTTCTTCTCCATAGGAATGTACACTTTGGAACGAGCAAATAGCTTCACTAGAGGACAGACGGACAGACTGACACGCTTAATTTTAAAGCTCTTGAAATACTTTTTTTTCTTTTTTTGCTTGACGTTCAAAAGTGCCTACTGTGGTCTAATTGAAATAATTGATTTTGACTTGACTTGACTTGACACTGTTCTCCAATAATAGAATCAACTAAGGGCTGATTTTTCAATAGTCAGATAAATGTTATCTCGCTGTCTTATACAAATATAAAATGTCGTGGTGGCCCGGAGGTTAAGGAGCCGGCTTCTCATGCATGAGGGTGTGGGTTCGAAACCTGGCACGTACCAATGTGACTTTTTCCGAGTTATATGTACTTTCTATGATTATTTAGACACCACTGACATACGGTGAAGGTAAACATCGTGAGGAAACCTGGACTTATAATTTCTAATTATAAGTTTGAAATCGCCAACAAGCATTGAGCAAGCATGGTGATTAATGCTCTAACCTTCTCCGTATGAGAAGAGGCCTTTGCTCAGCAGTGGACACTTTTAGTCTAATGATGATGACTGTCTTATACAAACATTCTGACGCGACAGCATCATAATTGTTCTTCAGGTAACTTTTATCTAGGCGTTGAAAAATCAGCTTTTAATGATGTAACAAAGAAAGGAATTGGGCCCAACGAAACCGATGTTTAGCCACGGCAACCGCAATAGGGAACCGTGGCCTTGGCGTTTTAGACAGAAAGAGTCTGACACCTTCTTCTCGCCGTACAAGGGCAGGAGAAGACCCCCCCTCAAAATAAAAATAAGCTCTGCTGCCAACGAGGCCGACTGACAGACAGAGACACTTAAAATAATAAGTGTGGGAGAGCCATGCTTCGGCACGAATGGGTCGGCCAGACCGGAGTGATACCACGGCCTCATAGAAAACCAGCGTGAAATTAACACAGCGTTTTGTTTCGCCGCATGAGTGAGGTTACCGGAGGCCCAATCCTTAATTCCCAAAACGTCGGCAACGCAATAAAAAGTAATCCGTCGGCTGATTTGCCGTTTATCATATAAAAAAATGAGGCAGACAGAGACACTGAGATTTGACTGCACGGTTGGTACGGTGGCTGGGCAACTGGCTGCCGTAGAACGTATCGCAGGTCGATTCCCGCACGGAACAACTCTTTGTGTGACCCACAAATTGTTGTTCCGGGTCTGGGTGTCATGTGCATGTGAAATTGTATGGTTGTAACCGCACCTACAACACAGGAGAAAATCCTAGTGTCGGGAAAAATTTTTTATTAACATAACTGAAAATAATTATAAATACTATTTCAGTATGACAAATAAGATTATAGATATTGTACCTACAATTACATAATATAGCGGCTAAACAATGATTGGACAGAAATGTTTAAATAATGATAAGAATTTTGCTTCATAATGCTATTATGGAGACATGTTTTTTAATGATGAGTTTATCTTTATGGGATAGGGCGGGAATTGAGTAGACGGATTGACCTGATGGTAAGCAATCGGTCATAAGCGACACCAGAGGAGTTCCAAGTGTTTGTCGGCTTCTTGAAGGTGTTTAGCGATTTGATTCTTTTGAATAATAAGGTCGTGGTGGCCCGGAGGTTAAGGCTCCCGCTTCTCATGCATGAGGGTGCAGTTTGCAGCACCACTGACATACGGTGAAGGTAAACATCGTGAGCTAACCTGGACTTATAATTTCTAATTATAAGTTTGAAATCGCCAACAAGCTTGGTGATCAATGCTCAAACCTGTTGTTTCGGGTGTGGGTGGTTCGTGTTAGTGAATTTGTGCGTTTGGAAAGGCACCCTCCACACAGGAGATAAAACAAAATGGAATATAAAAGACTGGCTCCTTTTTATCAACATAACACGTTCGCATACGTCGAGCCAATAGACCACCACAGACGGGACCCTATAGGGCTGATGTTCAGCCGGGGTTGCGGGGTAAGCGCAATAAGTCACCGCGGCCTCGGCCCAGAGCAGGAGAAGGAACGGGGGTCAATAAGAGTCTGATACTCTCTCTCGCCTTACCCGGGGCGGGAGTAGCCATTTGATGATATACCCCTACCAAAAAAAAAGTATTATGATATTGGTAAAATAATTAGTGTTTTCATTTTCCAGGTAGGAGATTACCTATTCAGAATCATGACGGATCGTGACATGATACAGTTGCCTGTTCAGAGTAAACTAGGACCCTGGATAGCGTCCAGACGTACTGAGGATGTGCAAAAGAAATATATGGAGATTGGAGGCGGATCCCCTATACTGAAGTGGACTAATAGCCAGGGTAGGTACCTAAATATACTGGAGAGATGATCTCCGGCCGCCGTAAGCGCTGGTCTGCGGACGGCGAGTAAGGGTAGCTCGCCGCCCGATCAGAACCAGACCCGAGCGTACGGCGCGTAGCGATCCGCGCCCACCTCAAAGAGCCAATAGACCACCACAGACGGGGCCCTATAGGGCTGTCGTTCAGCCGGGGTTGCGGGGTAAGAGCAATGTGGCACCGCGACCGCGGACTCGGCTTAAAGCAGAAGAAGGAACGGGGGGAGGGGGGTTTAGTCAGTAAGAGTCTGACACTCCCTTTCGCCTAAATATTTTTTACAACATAAGTGTGGGATAGCCATGCTTCGGCAAAATTGAGTCGAAATGATACCACGGCCTCACAGAAAACCGGCGTGCAACAACCACAGCGTTGTATAGCCGTGTGAGTGAGGTTACCGGAGGCTCAATCCTTCCCCTCCCCCAATCCCTAATCTCCAAAAGGTCGGCAACGCGCTCGTCACTTCTCCGTTGTTACGAGTGTCCATGGGCGGCGCTGATTGCTTACCATCAGGTAATCCGTTTACTCGTTTCCCGAACTATCACATGAAAGCATTTTTCTTCTTTTCAGGGAGCCTTTTAGCCGAGGCTTTGGACAAATTACACCCAGAGACGGCTCCACACAAGCATTACGTGTGCTTCAGATATGTCCCACCGTTCACCAACGACGCTTTCACTGCTATTGAGAAGTAAGTATAAGTAAAATTGGAGTGAGACTTTCTAAATTAATTATTATGTTTTCGGCTTACTCACGTAATATTTTAAGCCATGCTAGAGGCCCATATTCATGAGCAGCATTCCGCGACACGCGACGCGGCAACTGTATGGTGAATATGGGCACTCTTAACCTCTAGCATGGCTTGAAATTAGTCGATTATCTCGTCAAATTATTACGTGAGTAAGCCGAAAACGTGATAATTTAAACCGGAGTGATACCACGGCCTAACAGAGAACCGGCGAGACACGACCACAGGGTTGTGTTTCGCCTAATGAGTGAGGTTACTTGAGACTCAAATTACAGTTCCATCTTCAATATTCAAGTCTACCACTCCTAAAAGACCGGTAACTCAATAGCTACTCTCCTCATATTTCGGATGTTTAAGGTATCGCTGATTGCTTACCATCAGGCGATCAGGGTAACCATGACGTTCAAAGTAAGATTGTTTTAATCCTACTTCAGTGTGGGTAAGAGACAGAGCTAGACAACTTATGTAGCTCTTTCTCTGTCTCTTGTTACCCAGTAAGATAGTTTGCAGCCACATCCCTAAGTACGACAACAGGAGGCTCTGTCAATTATCATAAGTCCTTCAGTCCAGTTTGGGAGAGCCATGCTTCGGCACGAATGGGTCGGCCCGACCTTATAGATATCGCGGGCTTACAGAATAACGGCGTGAAATTACCACAGCGTTGTGTTTCGCCGTGTGAGTGAGGTTACCGGAGGCCCTTCTCCTCATCCTCAATCTTCAATTTCCCGATCCTTAGATACCTTATAATCTATAAAAGGCGGGCAATGCACTTATAGTAACACCTTTGGTATTACGAATGTCAATGAGCGACGCTTTTTGTTTACCATCAGGTAATCCGTCTGCTCGTTTGTCGACATAAAAAGTCCGCTTTTACAGCATCTGCGAGAAAATTCGGTCATGAATTCGGTCATTCTAACCCAAACTTAGTTGATAAAATTCTTTTAAAGCAATATCATCAAGCTTCAAAAGGTTTGTGACTATTGACCCCCAAAATTAAGTGTCAAATGACCCCAGAAATATCAGTTTTTCTCTTGACCACAGGGACGGCGTGGAAAGAGCTGTGATATTTTCCCAGTACCCACAATACAGTTGTGCCACAACGGGGTCTAGTTTGAATGCCATCGCAGACTTTTACAAGAACAGGTAAGATCTTCATCATCACAATATATCGACAGCATATATTCCAAGTATCAATACAAGTGTGGGAGAGCTATGCTTTCGCACGTCCGAAGTGATACCACAGCCTCAAAATAAAGTCAAAAAAAGTCAAAGTCAAAAATCATTTATTTCAATTAGACCACAGTAGGCACTTTTGAACGTCAAGCAAGCAAAAAAGGAATTATGTAACATGAGCTTTAAAATTAAGCGTGTCAGTCTGTCCGTCTGTCCTCTAGTGAAGCTATTTGCTCGTTCCAAAGTGTAGATTCCTATGGAGAAGAACGAGCAAGAAACTCCATGGTTACTCTACAATTTCCTATTATACTATATTTCTATACAATTATTATATTAATATTATATTTCTATAAAATTTTCTTGCTATCTTTGCAGCTTAGTTTTCGCTTAAGTGCATATACTATGCAACGTAAAACCAAGTCTAATGTAAAGGGAGTTATTATGAGAGGAAAGGATCATAAAATGAGTTCTCTCACTACTTAATGGAGCGAGTAGTAGTGTCAGACTTTTACACCCGGTTTCTGAAAGGCTTGTCAACGCTAAAGTTAACTAATCTTCTGTTAAATCAGATGACTTGACAAGAGAATAAATTGATTTTAATATTGATCGGCCTTTCGGAAACCGGGTGTCATTTACTTAAAACCAGTCGGTACCTCCTGCTCTGAGACGGGGCCGTAGTGTGCAGTTCCATAGTGCATTATTGTGCTTAATCCGCATCCCGTGGTCTGTTTGTTGGCCCTTTGAGGCCTGCGCGAACGTTACACGCAGTACGCTTAGGTCTGGTTTTCGTCAAGCAACGAGCTACCCTTGCTTGTACTAGCTATGATTATTTGGAAAAAAATGTTTGCCAATAAGGTTTTTCCCGTGTCGTGGGTGCGTTTATATGATACCCAGACCCGGAACAACAATTTATAAACCTCACAAAGAGTTGTTCGGTAAAGTCAAAGTAAAAATCATTTATTCCAACTAAACCATAAATAGGTACTTTTGAAACGTCAAAATAGAGAAGTAGGCTGTCAGTCTGTTGGTCAGTGAAGCTAGGTGCTCGTTCCAAATTGTAGATTCGAATGGAGAAAAACGAACAAGAAACTCCACCGTTACTCTTTTAAAAAAAAAATTTTGCAAATCGATCCAGGCGTCTTCGAGTAATCGGTGTACATACATACATAAAAAAATACGCTTCGAATTGAGAACCTCCTCCTTTTTTGAAGTCGGTTAAAAAAATATTGTTTTACAATTTCAATAATAGAACACGGGAATCAAACTAGCCAACCAAGCACGGGCCTGCGGTCGGCGAGTAAGGGCAGCTCGCCGCCCGACCAGAACCAGGCCCGAGCGTACGGCGCGTAGCGTTCCGCGCGCGCCTCAAAGAGCCAATAGACCACCACAGACGGGGCCCTAAAGGGCTGATGTTCAGCCGGGGTTGCGGGGTAAGCGCAATGAGGTACCGCGACCTCGGCACAGAGCAGGAGAAGGAACAGGGGGTCATTTGATGATTTTCCCTTCACAAAAAAAAAACTAGCCAACCAACCTGCAAAATACAGCACACTTCGTTTTATCATTTCTACAAATAATACTTACTTTAATTTAGTTTTGGTTGTCTATCTGTCTATTCATAATTTCCTTTCTTTCCTCCCTACAGGAGTATACCGAAAAACATAAAATTCAGTCTAATAGAAAGATGGGCCACGCACCCGCTACTAGCCAAAGTATTCGCAGAGCGAATCAAGGAGAAACTAGATGTATTCGATCCTGAAGTCAGAGACGATGTTGTTATATTGTTCACGGCGCATAGTCTGCCGTTAAAGGTATGTTTTTTTTATATAATAATGAGACTGAGAGACTGATAAGAAATGCTGGTATGTAGTCTCATAATAACATTGATATGTAGTGAGACGGATTGATAAAGAAACACTGTGACCCTGATATTTTGTAAGACTGATAAGTAACGAGACTAATTTATAAAAAAGTCAGCCTTTACAACACCTGCGAGAAGATTAGTGATTTATTCTACTCAGCTATTAATAAATAGTTTTAATTCTAACCCAACCTTTATTGTTATAAACTTTTAAAAATAATATCATTAATCTTCAAAAAGTTTGTGACTATTAACCCCCGAATTTAAGTGTCAAATGACCCCATAAATATCAATTTTTATGTTTGAGCACAGGGACGGTATTGAAAGAGTTGTGATATTTCTGATTTTATTTCTGATTGACCTTGAAAGCCTGATATTTAGTGATACTGACAGGTAACGAGACTGAATAATGCGACATTGGGAGACTGATGTTTTGTGAGACTGATTTATAAGGAGATATTGAGAGCCTGATATGTAGTGACACTGATAAGTAACGAGATTTATAAGGAGATATTGAGAGCCTGATCTATAGTTCGATTGTTTAATATATACTAAATAAATAATAAGCCTTTGAGACTGATTCCCTCTTATTCGCGAACAGTCGCGGCAATGTCGCTTGTCCGCCTGACTAAAGTCATTCAACTTTTAACATCATCACATTGTCAGCCTATAAGTGTTCACTGCTGAGCAAAGAACTCTTCACACACGGATTAGGTTTGAGCATTAATCGCCACGCTTGCTCAATGCGGGTTAGCGATTTCAAACTTATAATTTGAGATTAAGTCCAGGTTTCCTCACGATGTTTTCCTTCACCGTATGTCAATGGTGTCTAAATAATCATAGAAAGTACATATAACTCGGAAATAGTCACATTGGTACTTGCCAGGTTTCGAAACCTTTTGCATGAGAAGGTGGCTTAACCTCAAGGTCACCACTACATAACAGCTTTTTTCAAGTGAAGTATATATATTAATATTTTTTTTCTCCTTTCCAGGCGGTATCTCGTGGCGATACATACCCCCATGAGGTAGCGGCGACGGTAGCCAACACGATGTTACAATTAAATGTGAAGAATCCATACCGTCTGGTCTGGCAGTCAAAAGTTGGTCCGTTGCCATGGTTACAACCGTATACGGATGATGCTATTAAGGTAAATATAGATGTCCATCGAGAGACGATCTCCGGCCACCGTAAGCGCGGGTCTGTGGACGGCGAGTAAGGGTAGCTGGCCGCCCGACCAGAACCAGACCCGAGCGTACGGTGCGTAGCGTTCCGCGCGCGCCTCAAAGAGCCAATAGACCACCACAGACGGGGCCCTATAGGGCTGATGTTCAGCCGGGGTTGCGGGGTAAGCGCAGCGAGGCACCATGACCTCGGCCTAGAGCACGAGAAGGAACGGGGAGGGGAAGGGGTTAGTCACTAAGCGTCTGACACTCTCGCCTTACCCTGGGCGGGAGAAGTCATTCGATGATTTTCTGGTAGGATAGAAAGCGTAAATAATAGCAATCAATACTATTTATGATTATTTTTTTCATATCAGCTCTATCAGATAAAAAAATGGGAATATTATTTGGGGATAAGGGTTTCGGATATAAGAGCAACTAGTGTTTAATTGACGGTGTCAGCTGTATCACAAAAGAAAGAATATCTTATAAAACGACATTTAATGTTATTTTTACAAACAATGTCAGTTCCTAAATTCACAATATTATAATTATTTAATTTACACCACTATTTTAACGCATGGGATGTGGGGAGGGGGAGGTATCGAGTTTTTTTTTTGTATATTATTGGTGGAGTTATTGGTGGCTTATACTTGCGCTAAAATGCTAGGTGTCCGCGCCCGATGCCCGCGCATAGATAAACTGATTAATATATAAAAATCCCGCCATTACGAAACATTTTTCACAAGTCGTCTCGTTTTCTTTTTTAATGGTTTGTTCTTTCCTTTCACGGGACCACAGGGTCCCGGACCTTTGGAAGGCATACGAGGAGCCGAAGCCAACTCGCAGAGGCCCGTTGAACAGTTTTAATCTAAATGTGATGGGACATCAGCCGGCAATTATCCCTGTATGCACTATATAAGTGCACCCAAGGACAATCCCCGGTTGATGCAGGACTATTGTAAAATGTGGTAAAAATTGATAGGGTTATAGGTATGGGTTGCTATGGACTGGTGGATATGATAACTATGGAAGTACTATGGCCCCTGTCCCTGACCAATATTGATACATACGGATAAACAGGCAGGGGGTGACTGGCAAACTCAATTAATGGGCCCCCGGAAACGGCCGCTAGCATGTAGCGACACGGGGGCAACATACGTTGAGCTGCTTGGGGAAGGAGAGGCATCCCACGGCTATCAGAGCAATCCCGGAAGTACGGTCAAGATCCCTACCAGCACCTTACTGGGATACATCCTTCCCCCGAGTCTCTTAAAGTATTTTATTACTAAGAAGTGTGTTGAAAAACGTCGTGTGATAAACGTGTGAATTGATGATTACCGTACTCGGCTCCTGAAGTCTTTCCCCAACATAACATATTTTTTTTTATGTAATAAGTTGGCTAACGAGCAGACGGATTACCTGATGGTAAGCAATCAACGCCGCCCATGGACACCCGCAATGGAGGAGTTACGAGTGCGCTGCCGACCTTTTAGGGATTAGGGATTTGGATATTTAGGGATTGGGGAAGGGTCCGGGAAGGGGAAGGATTGGGCCTCCGGTAACCTCACTCACACGGCGAAACACAACGCTGTGGTTGTTTCACGCCGGTTTTCTGTGAGGCAGACATTTGTACAATAGTGTGCTTTTTTTTCAGGCGTATGCGAAACAAGGACGCAAGAATCTACTGTTGGTGCCCATAGCGTTCGTTAATGAACATATAGAAACGTTGCACGAGTTAGATATTGAATACTGCCACGATATTGCTAAAGAGGTAATAATTCATTTTACAATATTTTCTCAATTAAATTGTTCGTTGATTGTCTTTTTCGTACTAGCAGACGGGTTACCTGATGGTAAGCAATCTGCGCCGCCCATAGACACTCGCTACGCTAGAGTTTTGCAGGGCTTAGATTTGTGTTGGGGACTGTTTGAGGCCCTAGTATCACTCAGTCGAAGACGGCCGTCTCTTTTATTTTATGTAATAAGTCGGCAAACGAGCTGGCGGATTACCTTATGATGGTAACTATGTTAAGCATTCAGTGCCGCCCATGGACACCCGCAACAACAGAGGAGTTACGAGTGCGTTGCTGACCTTTTGGAAATTAGGGATTGGGGGAGGGCAAGGATTGTGCACCTGGTAACCTCACTGACACGGCAAAATACAACGCTGTGCTTGTTTTACGCCGATTTTCTGTGGGGCCGTGGTATGACACCGGTCGAGCCGACCCATTCGTGCCGAAGCATGACTCTCCCACATTAACATGCCATACACACATATTTTGTATCAGCATAAAATTTAGTAATAACAATATTCCAAATCAATGTATTTTCGTAATTGATTAGGTTCTTTAAGAAAAGGAAATTTATGTGTCTTGTGATTTTTTTTTTCTAAAAACCAGACATTTTAAATTAGTCACTAAGTATTACTTAACTTTCAAAAATCTCTTTATTTTTTTCAGGCTGGTATTACACGCATAGAGAGGGCGGCAACACCGAATGCTCATCCCACTTTCATATCGGCGTTAGCTGATATTGTAGTGCAACATTTAGCCGGCCAAGAAAAAGTATCCAAACAATTTTTAACAAGGTAATGTATACTACTCGAAACACATATTACTTAGCTATGTCCCGTGGTTTTACTCGCGTAGTCTAGTAGCCAATGTTCACCCGTAAATAGTGTTTTTATGTGATAGGTCGGCAAATGGGCTAATTACCTGATGGTAAGCAATCAGCGCCGCCCATGGACACCCGCAATGACGGAGGCGTTACAAGTGCGATACCGACCTTTTGGGGATTAGGGATTTGAAAAAATGTAATGTTGCTTTTTTGCATACCCATTGAAGATAATAATTGTGACAGTATCATATTAATTTTTCTTTTTTTTTTCAGATGCCCACACTGTGTAAGCGAAAGGTGTCACAAATCAAAGGAATTCTTCAAAGAACTATGTGCAGGAGATGTTGCCATAGATACAAATAATATTAAAAGCCAAGAGTCCCAGCTAAATGTCAAATAAATGTACTAAAAACTTCTGTACTTTGAACATAGATGGCGTTAGTGTTCTAAGGGTTAGTATCTTTAAAATGGATGTTTCAAGATAGCTCACGAAATTCAATACTTTTCTTAATATATTTAGACACCACTGATATACGGTGAAGGAAAACATCGTGAGGAAACCTGGACTCATCTATCTTAATATATAAAAATGGATCGCAAAATGTGTTGGTAAGCGCATAACTCAACAACCCCTGGACCAATTTTGCTAATTATTTTTTTGTTGAGTTTGATATGTTCAGGAGAAAGTTCTTATCAAATAAAATATTAGAAAAGTAGAGGGGAAGATTAGGAAAAAGTGACCCTTTGATTGCGAGATAGTTGGACCCGTGCGAAGCGGGGGCGGGCCGCTAGCATAATTATAAAAATCAATGCCACTTTTCGTTGTAATGTTATATAACTCAACAATGCCATTACCGATTTGGCTAATTTTGGTCTTGAATTATTCGTGGAAGTCCAGAGAAAGTTTGTACGTAGAGAAAATTAATATTAATCGCCAATCCTCCTTGAGCGAGCGTGGTGATGGCACAAACCTTCTCCGTGTGAGAAGAGGCCTTTGCTCAGCAGTGGGCTGATAATTTCGTGGGCTATCTTGAATGCCTCTATCCGTTAGGTACCTATAGATTTGATAGCTATTGACACAATTTCCGTACATATATTATATATTTACTTATTTATATATATATATATTACAATTGCAATTAAAGAGAAAACAACAGATTAAGTGATACATAGGTAGGTTCTTGTTTTAATAACGGAATCCACATATGTATGTAGACTCCGTATATATATACTGGGTGTAAGGGACAGCGTCCCGCAAACTGACAGGGGTTGCTCATTCAACGAAACTGAACAACTATCACCAGTTACTTTTTTCAGGAAACGAAAAAAAAATTTGATTTTCCATACAAATTGTCTGGTCGAGGTGATCATTTTGTATGGAAAAGCATTTTTATTCTCGTTTCCTGAAAAAAATTCCTGGTGATAGTTGTTCAGTTTCTAGATTATTTGTTATTCTGTTTCACCCATTGATTAACTGCAGGAAAATGCTCAATGCATTTCTTCAAATACGCCAATTTGCTTTTATACATATAGTATAAAACAAAGTCGCTTTCTCTGTCCCTATATCCCTATGTACGCTTAAATCTTTAAAACTACGCAACGGATTTTGATGCGGTTTTTTTAATAGATAGAGTGATTGAAGAGTTTATATGTTATGACACATTTTTGTGTTGAAAATCTATGGTGATAAATACCAAATTTATTAAAACTAAATAACGATTTACTCGCGTGATTTAACTGAGAAAAGCTCGACTAGTTTCAAGTCAAAACGGGACTCTTATTCGTCGCGTAAATTGACCAGAGTTCAGTTAGGGGACATCCATAAAGTAATTTCATGATTTTTAAGAAAATAGGGAGATATTGAATGAAATAAGTGTGGGAGAGCCGTGCTTCGGCCCGACCGGAGTGATACCACGCCCACACATAAAACCGGCGTGAAACAACCACCGCGTCGTTATTCGCCGTGTGAGTGAGGTTACCGAAGGCCCAATACCTACTTCTCCCTTTATCCCTTCCCCATTCCTTGAATATCCGCAACCCTTATCCTCAAAAGGCCGGCAACGTACTCGTAACTTCTTTGGAGTTTTCGGTGTCCAAAGACACAAAAATATGTCTTTTTTATTATTAAAATGACGACGCCTACGATACCACATTTTTTTTTCTTAGAACTGTCCCTGATTTCATAAATTACTATATGGCAACCCTACTTGAGACTTAAAGCTTTTATCAGTGAATTCACGTGTGTAAGTAGTTATTTTTAATAGATTTACACCCGGTTTCCGAAAGGCCGATCAATGTTAAAATCAATTTAATCTCTTGTCAAGTCATCTGATTGGTTGACTGAATTATCAACAACCAATCAGATGACTTGACAAGAGATTTAACAGGAGATTAGGTAATTTTAGCGTTGACAAGCCTTTCAGAAACCGGGTGTAAAAATATGTTTTCTCATATAATATAATATATATATATATAATATTGCTTTTAAATAACTGGTGTAAAGTTATCAACACTGCCTACACATTAAAGTTCTAAGGAAGTTAATATATGAATTAATATTCTATCCATACGTTAATAGAGTTATTTTCACTATAATATAAAGAGGCAAATTGTATTAATATGAATACTACTAATGTTATAAACGCGAAAGTTTGTAAGTATGTATGTATGTTTGTCACACGTTTATGCCAAAACTACTGAACGGATTTTAATGGGAGCATTTTTTGATTGGACATTAGTGGTTACTCTTTTTTAATCGTATGGTCACTTAACCTAATGTTAATTGGGTAGTTTCCAAGGTCAAAAATAAATTAATTCGACGTTTTAATACAATGTAAATTGAAAAATAACTATACTTTTATTCATCGATCAATCGATACACTAAACTTTCGATATTTTTCTTAGCTTATTTTTTTAAAGAAATAAGTAAGCTATTTGACGCAAAAATACTATGACGTCATAACTCAGTTTTTCATACAAATTTCATAAAAAAGTATCGTTTTTGACATTTGGATCAAAGTATTGAATTTGACTAATTGGAAACTACCGTATTATATATTATTGTTTTAGCACAAATTCATTTAAAACCTTTGTGGGGTTTATATATAAGTACTATTTTATTTTTCTTCTGGTATAGTAAAGGCTGCGTTATCAGAATCGGTCAATGAAACAATGAATTTATTGTTGCAAATAGGCCATAAAACGGCACTTTTACACGTCAATTTATATGTAAAAAACTAGATGAAGCCGGTCGATTAAATAAAGAACAATTAAAACATTATAAACTTAAATTATGACCAATAGATATTGTTTTGTCGCTGACATATAAATAACTAAACTATCTTCAAATAATATTCTGAGAAATGTTTATTTAATTCCAAAAACCCCACAAAATATCAATTTGTTTTTAACTTTGTTTTTATGTATGTCAGTAAATAATTATTATGTTTTCGTAATCACGTCACGTAATAATTTGACGAGATACTCGACTAGTTTTAAGCCATGCTACAAGCGACTCAGCGACTGTAGCAGCGCGACAGTCGCCGAGTAATGCTGCACATGAATATGGGCCTCTAGCATGGCCTGAAACTAGTCGAGTTATCTCGTCAAATTATTACGTGAGTAAGCCGAAAACATAATAATTAAAATTTAGAATGTCTCACGAAAGTTATAATAAAAATATGTCAGTAATTCTAATCAGTGTCCAATTTTCACTATAATAATGTGTCAAAAAGGAGTGCAACCGAGTGCCATAGTAGTGCACAACCTTCTTTGGCACAGAGATATATTAAGTATAATCTGGAATTATACATAGGCTATGTTGTTTCTGGGTAATGCGAACGAAGCCGCTGGCCAAAGCTAGTTTATTACAAAGGTTCGGGCGCTAAAAGTCTGTTTCGTAAAAAGACTATTTCGCAGATTGTGTAAGTCAGAAGAAAATTTTTTGACATAACCTAATTTATTAAAATTACTGTGCAATTATGTTATGTTAAAATTGATAATTAAATATTTTGAAACAGTTAAAAAATTGTGATTGTGTATCAAAAAATATATATTTTTTTTTATTAAAATTTTATGTAGTACCAAAATTTTAACATCATAATCGCACTTTAATTTTATTAAATGATTGTTTGTCCCTTTTTTCTGAGAGGAAAATCATGAAATGACTTTCCCGCCCAGGGCCGGGCGGGAGGGAGTGTCAGGCTCTTACTGACTAAAAACCCCCTGTTCCTTCTCCTGCTCTGGGCCGAGGTCGCGGTGCCTCATTGCGCTTACCCCGCAACCCCGGCTGAACATCAGCCCTATAGGGCCCCGTCTGTGGTGGTCTATTGACTTTCTGAGGCGCGCGTGGAACGCTACGCACCGTACGCTCGGGTAATTTTAAGTCCCTGGCGCGACATTTTACGGAATAGACGTTTTAGCGCCTGAGCCAATACAAATGGGTGTCATAATTGGTGTTTAACTTTGTAAACGCCCCGGTATATAATAGCCATAATGTCATGTGATTGTGCACTCCTGAAACCAAAATAACCTCACTAGTGTAGATGTAAAGAAATAAGAATGTAGGGTGAGAAGAGGCCTTTGCTCAGCAGTGGGCACTTATAGGCTGATGATGATGATGATGAAGTCAAAATTCTATATCTATAGTCAGACTTTTAATTCGATTCCTGATTTGACATTGACCACTGTCATTTTGTGAAATAACGATACCACATATATCAGTGTAGTGATGAACACAAAAAATCGATAAACAATCAGTGAATCAGTTACAGAAAGGCATTCAAAAAATTACGGCTACCGAATGGTCTCTGGAAAAAATTAGTAAGCTAGATATGATAATTGACAATAAATATCAAAGACACAATTCATAATAAATGTTACATAGAGTAACGGCGATAGCGATAGCGATGACGGCGACAATTTTTAAAATGTCTGTTTTATTTGTCACGTTCCTTCATGATTACATTTTTAATTAATTTCACACACAATTACAAAAGAAATGTCTCAGATCGTTAATTAATTGTCAAAACTAAATTATCGGTTCAGAAATATTTTATTTCCTGATAAACTTAGTTTACGAGAGTAAAATTATAAACGCGAGGAATCGATTCAGAAATATTCGATTTCCATATCGAATAATTTCGCAACGTCACTATTTATTACGTGTCATAACGTTGCAACACTGAAATTGTCAAATCTGGAATGGAATTAAAATTCCGAGTATAGAAAGCAAATTTACAGATTATTAAAACTGGTTCTTGAAAATGAAGTGCTCATGTTATTATCTATGTTTTAAATTGCAGCTTTTATCTATGGTTTTTTTTTTGTTTGGGCAACATTTTCTGTCTGTCTTAGATAAGTAACTATTGGAAGACATAAAATTTATTGAAAATAAACGAC